TCAATTAAAAAAAAAAAAAAAAAAACAAGTCTTGTTTTTTCTTAATTTTTTTTTTCAGAATTTCCAATTTATTGTATTTTAATCTTAAATTAACAATCGTGTAAAATTACTCAAATACCTCTCAACTCAATTTTTCCTCTTTTTTTTTTTCATTACTTGTTTTCTTTTCTTTTAATTATTTGTTTAGTTGGCTTTTTACAAATACGAAAATGCCCTTATGTCCATTTCTGTAATTCCATAAAACATTTTTGGAAAGTAAAAAAAAAACGTTAAAAATACAATTCATTCACATCGCCATAATTCTAGATGACATTATTAAATAACCAAACAAATAAAACAAAATCAACTTTATGATAAAGTAAATTATTAAATCCTTATTTATAAATTAAAATAAAATATGTAATTTCATATATTACCATTATACCATTTAAATTTTATTTCAAACCTATTGATACAATTAGGCTATAAGATTTACGTTATGTAAAGTAAATTTAGTTTGAGATAATATTTTTAAAATAATTTTCTTAAGAAAATCATATTATTCTAATTAAAAAATTACCTAAAATATTTTACATAAAAGAAAATCCATTACGCAAAATGATACGACTAATCTATATGAAAATATCTAAAATATTTGATATTTTGATTTGAACTTTTGGTCCCACGTCTATGTCTAACTTTTTTTTTTCTCCAAGATTACTAGTCAAAAGATTGATTTGCCTTCCAAAAAACGAGAACTAAATAAAATTAAATAATTAAATAAAATTATTAATTACTGGTGCATTTAGTGTACTCAATGCATATTATTAAATTAATAAAAAAAATTATTAATTCTATAATTTTATCTACACCTCTCAAATTAAGAGCTGTAATTATATTTTGGAATTCTAAAATTGGATCCATTATTTTCTATAAATACAAAATAATAATAATAATAAATAAATAAATTGAATAATTCCTCTGCCTTTGCTTTCTTTTCAAGAAATAAACCATCAAATCACCCACCCCAAGAGGTTTATATTTATGAATTAAGAAATATAATTAAAAACAAGCCATTAAAACGACGTCGCATAAGGAAATTAAAAAGGCCAATAAAATTTCATACCAAATCAAAAGTAGTGGATTACCACAAAAAAAAAAAGTAAAATAATTATAAAAAGAAACCCAAATTTAATTATATTATTAATTGTTGCTTCTTTTACAATTCATTCCATTAAAAAAAATCTTTTGCTTCATACATTAATAAAATAATAAATAAATAAAACAAAATATTTAAAGATTTTAATGAATTTGCTAAAAAATATTGACTTTGGATAACTTAAAATTCAAATAATATTATTTATTAATATTGATATTTATTCAATTTTATACTACTTTAACTCATTCCACTACAAAAAATGCTGATGGAGAATCCACGTGGCAAATGGAAAAAGAATCAAATTCTAATAAAAAATAATTTTTATCTATGACAATAATTATCATTTTAAAATAAAATGGATATCGTATATCTTTTTCTATATTGGTTGATAATGATAATAATAATAATTATTATGATTTAATGATGAATAAAATATAATAAATCGCTATTTATACTTTTCTACTTATATCAACGTGATGCTTTTAAGTTTTAAATGTTAAAAATCTTTTGTTTTAATCATAAAAAATCATTTAGTCCTCATTATTATATTTTCACTAATTATTTTATCCAAACATTAATTTGTTAAAAAAAATGATCATTGACCTAAAATATTGTCTGAAATATCCAATCATATTGATACGTAATAATTTATAAACTTAGATTAGATTTTTATTAAAAAAAAAAAGAAATTAAAATGTCAATGATTGAAACAATCTCGAGTATACATTAGGATTAAGAATTAAAATAATTTTTTTTTTTTATATTTGAATTTTTAAAAGGTTTATTTTAAAGTACAAGTCGAAAAGAAAATAAAAATTAGTTTCATGATCTTTTATGACTGGAAAACATATCTGCAAATATTTAAAACCAAGTCATTAATTTTTAAAATAATTAATGCATTAATTGTAATAACTTAGATATGCTCCCCATTTCAAAATTTAAAAACAAAAAATTAAAATAACTAACTATTTGGCTATTAAAATTTAATTTCAAAATTTAAAAACAAAAAATTAAAATAACTAACTATTTGGATATTAAAATTTAGTTTATAAATATCAAAAAGGAAACGAAATATTTGATTCTATAATATTTTAAAATATTTATGAAAAGTGAGGGGTAATAATATAATTTTAAAAAAGAAGGGGGATATTTTTGAAATAAAGATAAAATAGAAGGATAAGTAGGTAAAAAGTTATTTCACGAGCCTAAAATTTAAATGCAAATTATACAAACAAAGAAACACACAAAAGTTGAAAGGAACAATCATAATTTGGGTGTAAAATTTGACCCGTTAGCTTTCAATCCACTATGAAACCACGTTCTAGATTTCGTCAAAGGCGCGTGTACCACACGTTCACGCACCGAGCGTGGGCCCCAAAAGCACAGAAAAATTAATGTTTCTTTTTTAAAAAATTAATATTATTTTAATTAAAAAATATATTTTGGAGTAATTAAAGAAAATTGAGGATGAATTAGAGCTGAGTTGCTGACCAATCAACAGCATGGATTTGAACTCCTAAACCCTAAATTAAAATATAAACAAAAAGAACACAAAAAATAAATGCAAAAATATTAATAAATACACCTCTTAAATCCTTTTTTTTATTACTTTATTTTATATTATTGATTAATCAGCTTGATGGGCACTCTCAAAATAAATAAAGAATTAAAACTTTTATTATTATTATTATTTTTTTTTAGATTTATTCTATTTTAATTTTTTAAATAAATATATCTTCACCCAACCTAGTGGATATTAAATAAAAGTTTAATCTTTTCACCGTTAAAAATATTAAATAGATTCATGAACTTTATTTTGTATTTAATAAAATCTTAGCCTAATTCAATTTTTTCTAAAATTAAATAATATTAGATATAAAATTTAATTTTAGTAAATTTTTAAAAACAGCCAAAATTATGTTTAATTTTAAGAATTTATTAAATAAAAAATAAAAAGTTTAAAAATAGGTTATACCGGTTTTAAATTTCAAGAATGAAAACAAAAATAAAAAAAAAGTCTAAGAAAGAAAACGAAATAAATTGGGCAGGCTTTGGAGGACTAAAAAGGAAATTTAGAGGACTAAGATTTCGGTTCGGCTGGGTTCGGTTCGGTTGGGTTCGGTTTTATGGTTTTCTTTTAATATGGACATAGGGGCATAGGCAGATTTATTTGTTGTTTAATAATTATGAAAAAGAAAAAAAGCAGAGCAGCAAAAAGAGTAGTACAGAGAGAAGAAGAAGAAAAGAAAAACCCAGAAAAGAATTGAAGTTTCTGCGCAATCTGGAAGGAAATGAAAGAATGGGAGATTGAAGAAGAAAGTGGTTGTTCAGATGGGAAAGACGATCAGTAGAACTGGTGGTTGTTGGGGTAACAAAGACGGAATTTTAAGCTTCGAGATGCGAGCTACTGATTCCGGTAGAAAAGGAACCTTCTCCGTACTCCTTCTATACCTCCTTTTGATTCTCATTTTACCAAGCATTCAAAATCAATTTCCTTCTGTAGTTTCTTCGTTTTCCTCTTCGCAAGTTGCTGTTTCTCCTTCATCTTAGTTCAATCTGGTCTTGTTTTGGTGTTTTTCTTCCGGGGCTGCTTAATTTTGACTTGGT